AATGCTGGTTGATTTTCTTAACTGAACAATAATGATAACGAATACTAATAAAACAAAACAAAAACTACCTTAAAATTTGGCTTCTTTCTGAAGCCAAAAGCTTTCGCTTTCTCTTCAAGTTTCATTTCAGCTTGAATAACTGGCAAAGGAGGTGGACGCGTTTCCATATGCTCATCCAGTTGTTTAACCCATTCTTTTTCGTGATCCTCAGCGAATCGGTTGAATGAGCGAACTGAATGAACGTTTCTTGGATGCTTTCATTTTTATTCAACAGTAACCACCAAATTCATTTCGAATTTAACTACCATTCTCGTAATCATCATATTGTTGGAACAACATTTGATGAAAGCCATAAGAACTCGTACCCCTCTTCGAAAACATTTTTTCCATGAATTTCACTTTTTTAGAATAACGCTTGACTTCAAATTGTTCCTTTATTTTTCCTCAACAAATTCGTGAATACCACAGCGCAAAATGCTTTCAATCATTCAGCGAACTAAACGCACAGAAAAACAATCAGACAGACATAAATCAACCGAAAAACAATCATCTTTCGATCAGCTGTTATACTTCCGACAAAGTTTTTCACATCCGGTTGAACTCGGATAAGAAGAAAGTGAGTGTAATTTGTTGAAACGAAGTGAGTCTGCCAACTGACATTATCAGATCACGATCAATCAACGACAAATAAATGCGAACACAAAAACTACTCAACGAACAAACCGATTAGTCCAGCCGAATTACAGTCCCAGACATATATTGAAGGATGGCTCATCCACGATTGCAAATCGAATATCGATAACGGAATATACTGCAAATTTAAAAAAAAAGGTCGAATTTTGATTTCCGTGTAAAAACGCATTCTCAACAATAAAAATTTTCAACTCCAATGAACATATAGCCGTTCGTGACAAAAGAAGTAGAACTGAAACTGAATTCACACTGAAGTATTGATATACAACCGTGATAACAAGTTAAATGAATGATTTTTAGTGATAAAAAGAGAATCGTGAAATCCAATGATAATCATAATCCAATAATTCCTCAATCAATCATAATTCCTCTATAGTTCACCGAAAAGATATATAATCTGTGTGGTTATGTGCCATTGCCATTAAGAATATCAGATATAATGAAGATTGAAATCATAAATAACCAGATCAGTNCAACGTTAACCCTGAATGAGCCTGATCCCCGTAACTAAGGTTTCGATTCAAACAAGACTTGAACATTCGCCTCAGATAAATTCTCAGGCTAAGTACAGTGATGAACCTTGAGGGTCATGTGCGACAGATGTTCTTTTCAACAAAACGTTGACTACAACGTTAGCATCATTCAACTCGTTTGAATAATGAGAACGAGCAAAATCATACCTGAGTGAAATTTTTGTTGAATACCCAAATTTCACCATTTTCGGTGGGTTTTGGTACCCCATGACCATTGTAATGGAAGAGAACACGCTCATCTTTTGCATTACGACGCATACTCTGACACAAGCGACGTACATCCTCAACTGTTGGGTCATTTGCGTTCTTGTATCTGCAATATGAGCTACATCACAAACATACACTCACTCAAACGATTCTTCGATCACCTCTTCCGTCTAGAGGGCAACATTTGCGGTGATTTCTGAGGGGATGATCTGTTTAAGTAATTTGATATTCTCGACTTGAAATCGTTAATTTGAAAACAAAAATTAAAATGGAGAGGTGAGTGAGGAAAATACACGAACCTGGCTCGCGGTTGCCATCGTTCGTAATTCTTTTGCAATGCAGATGCAATTTTAGCGATTGCCTTCTGAGGGTTCATTCCTTGTGGATCAATCCAACATTCTTGTCTCGCACACGGATTCGGCTTTAGCACATCCGGCGGATCTACACCAATGTTCAAGCACAACACCAATGCCACTGAAACCGTCTTCATTCGCTCTTTTGAATATCGCCGCCTGCAAATTTCACTTTACTTCCTTTCTAAATCTGATTATTCAATTCCAAGCACGCATACAAATCATAACCACATGGCTAGTCGAATGAATTGAATGAAGTAATATTGTTCCGTTAAAAACTAAAACAAACCAAGTATCTCGTTCCTCGATTTCTTCCTTCACACCGATTATTTTTTCGATATGACGAGATTCTTGGAACCACGTCGCTACCGGTGGGTCCGTACGCTAGAATAGTCAGATCATTGCCGGTTATCACAGAAACCGAAACATATAGACGATAAAAATGAGAATTTTTCACACGTACGCTCTGTTTGAGTTTCATATTCATTCTGATATACGTTTTCGGAATGGACTCATTGCCAAATGCAGAAACTTAATATTGGAATCACAGCACAACAGTCGTTCGGAACCAATGGAAAACAGTTTTAAAAGAATGCAGTCAAAACCTACCGCATCATCGACTGCTTCGCCAGACATGTTCAACGATTGTTACAAGAAGTACAACTAAACAAAATGAAAAGTCCAAATATGAAACGCATCTGATCACCGAACGGATTTCGTCGTGAACACTGACTACCTGAAGCGAATGAATAATTTCACACAATGCGGCCACACTTCTATTTAAACCTTTCAAGACATTCCACACACCAGCAATGCGATATAACGATGGAAACTTCGCTCATCACTGAAGAAACGTTGGTCGATTATGAGTCTAAATAACAAGTCAACTTCAATAGCTCTTGTTCAAGAACTGTTTCTAAAAAGTGAGTCACCCATTTTAATCATTTTCGGACTGCTCTTGAAGGACAAAAAAAAACGGAACAAAAAAGTCCGGTGGAAATAAATATGAGCACAAACCTTGATTTATCAAAATGTTAATACTCCTTCTTCCCTCCTTCGTTATGACGAGAAAAATTCACGTTTGTATTCATATGATCAAAATTTTTTTAAAGCGAACCATTCAATGGGTACGGTGGAAGTGCCAAAGCATAATATTTCTGTTATTTACAACTGAATATCAATCTTCCGAAACTTCGGTGTTTAGAATTTGAGATTTATTGCTAGCCATCCATCCAGTCAATATTTTCCTGAAATAAAACTTGGTGTGCACAAGTAAGACCGCTATAACGACAGTTATTTTTAAACATCTACTGAGGATAAATCACACAATTTGGTAGACTTCCTTTTGATGGCTGTTTTCATTTTCACAAACCTCTTGGTTGTTGACAATAACGCTATAATTTCGAATACGTTCAGATCTCATTGTTCATGTTTATTCTACTGCTTAAATATGATCGATGCGGTGGTAGTTTGCGCGGAATAACGGGATGAGAGCCATGGCCGTGTTTCTTTGTTTGAAAGGTGGCTGAAATTGATTACGGGTTTTCAACCTCACCTGGCAACAATCGTGTAATGTATAACGGTGAACGTTGAAAGTGGTTGGTCGATTCTCAATAAGACAAATCCAATTACTGCTGTTTGTTGCTTGTCGATTCATAATGCTACTCGAGTTCAAATTTCAGATGTGCAAATATGGTTTATCAGTAACGTAGAAGAGAATTTTTAGTGAAACGTAGATTATTGCTGCGCAACATTTTTCCGTTGAAAATGCCACTCCAATGACTGTAGCAGTAACACGGGAAATAACCAAATCCGATTCAAATTTATACGTACCGTACGCATTAATACAGAACGTAATAAGTATTATACAAAGCACGCAAATGTAGAAGGTATGTGATCAAGCGTTAAGGTGCGTCGTAGTCAAATTGCGTATGTATTTTTTCGATTCACCCACGAAGTAGTACGCGTATTCATCTTTAATATCAGTTTAAGGTAGCTGAATCCACAAGCAGAGTTGGTATGGTTTGATTGCTCTACATTTTTTTTGGAATTTTGTACAGTACAAAATTGCACATTTGTTTTTAGAACATCGGCGTTCGGATACAACAAAGTACGTTTATCTTTTTCGGAAGATCGGCTTTGCACAGAAGTGTACCGCTTTTTGAGGACGAAGTGCATTATAGAATTGTACCAAAATGGTGATACAATGTTGTCGGAGCAAAACGAACTGCTTACGAGGATGATGGTATAAAACGGAATCATTAATATGAACGAAGTATGTTCGGGGTAGGGTATAAGACTGCTCGCAGATGATTCAGGATTTCAAGAGTATCAAACTGAAGAGTGGGCAACTGTTTGTTAGCAACGAGAACAAATGCAGAAGTTGAGGAGACGGAAAGAGGGGATCAACAACTCCTTCGGGTTATGTTGAATGCCAAGATCAATGGGAGAGCAAAAGTCAGGCAGCTACAAATGGAAGAATCGTATTGAACTCACTCCTCAAGATGACTGCTACAAAAGGAACTGATGAATAACGCTAAAATAGCAGTAATGAGTTATACAAATATAATAATGTATATAGGTCTCATGAAGAATACATCATTATGCACGAAGTACATAGTTTATTGCACATTTAAGCGTTGACATAAGATGGGAAGATTGGCTATTTTTTAAAAGAAGTATCATGGATGATCATATTATTAAAATAACACTGATAACTAATGCACCCGAACAGCAAAAAATTTGCGAATGCGCATCAAATGCCACTGCTGGCTGGCATAATGGGACCATATTATGAACGCTCGCAAATGTGTCTACGATTTTGGAAGTGAGCGTTTCCCGTTGCAGTGCTATCGGAAGGTCGTGAGCTCGACGAGTGAAACTGTCTGAAAACGTCGTTCTCAAGAATGTGATAAGTATCAGCACTTGCAGATTTCTTTACGATGCCACTACTGCAAGCTCAAGATTGGGACATCCATCATGCTAACATTTGAGCAGGACGGAGCCCAAGCTTTCTCACAATCGTTTAACCTAGTGTTGTGCGGGGAAAGAAAAAAGTCCGGAACGGGGAGAATCGGGGACATTTTGAGGACGGGGACTCGGGTTCGGGGAGTTTCGGAGAGAAAACTCAATCTCATCCCGGTCCCCCAAATTCCCCGAAGATGTAACTTTGGAATTAGAGTCAGCAGGACCTAAAAAACATGATTTTTTGGTGGAAAAGCATTGAAATAAGTAATCTGTAAGCTAGGACAGCGATAACTGCGAAGGCACAAGGCAATTCTGTCTGCAGTATTTTATTCAAATATTAACAATGGAAGGAATGATAAAAATAGCAATAAAATACGCAAATATTTCCTCGTAAATACGGAAATACTTCCACACGACGCTACCCCTGACCACACCATAACCTTTTTGTTAGCTGCTCAGATATCGTTGCGCCCATATTGTTACGAGTGGACAATCGCTCAGTAACACACAT